TGAACACGGAACATGGGGGTGTTTTGGTAATTTATGCTTTCGGTAAAATGGTAATAAAGTCCATCGGAGGAAAGTATTTTATTAATTTATTGATGATTTTATATACTAGAGTATCCTCAATTGTAGAGCGATAGGAGTATAATAATAAATAAAATGGTATAAAGAGGGAATCGTTTATGATTATGTTATATACCGAGCAGCTGTTTTTTTTTTCAAGGAAAGAAAAGAAAAAAAGTTAATAAAAGACGTAAATTTTTGTGATGGATGGTCATTGGAAAAAGAAAGTTATATTTTTTTTTGTTTTCATTGACGGTTCACTTTGATGTTGCTATGGTTATAGGAAAAAACTTCAAATTGTGGTTAACAAAAAGACTTTAAACTTTGACCTTATGGTTGAACTAAGACTGAACTTTGACCTTGTGGTTGAACCAATGGGATTCCCAAAGGTGAGAAGACAATTCTAGAAAAAAATTTCGGTCGTTTCAATTGATGCTATTGAAGGCTATCGTTATTCAGATCAAGCCAAAGATTACCTGATGACTATCGTTATTTCAAGTCAACGATTAAATGCTGACTATCGTTATTCAAATCAAGCCAACAATCGCATGACGATTATCGGTACAACTAGTAATCAAGCTCAAGAATATATAAATATGGAGTTAAAGTAGACAGCTGGATATCCGTATTTTTCCCTATGAGTATGATATAAAGAAAAAATTCTCTTATCATGACAACATAATTAGGAATATAATATTTTTCAAAATATATATTAAATATTATATTTAATGGTGAGGAATGTCGTTGACCCATAAAGGGGTGACATGTTCTAATATGTATAAAATATAATTATATAAGCCTCAAATGTCAATCAGATGGATTATAGACATCTGATTGGAGAAAAAATTATTATTATTTAATGTAAAAAAAAATAATTATTATTATAATAATATATATTTTTTTGGAATTATATTTTGATTATTCATTATTAAAGTTTTGAAATTTAAAAAGAAAAATTAATAATTATCATAATATTTTTTTGTTTTATTAAAAAACATTCTGAAATTTGAAATAAAGAAAAATTATTTTATGAATTAAAAATACATCTAAATATTCATTTATTGGACTATCAATAAATTATATATTCTTTCTACGATAATTCAAAGTTTCATGAATAGAATTAATTTTATTTGAAATATATAATATTAAAATTATTTAATATCATATATAAAGTTAGTTTTTTAAAATAAAGGTCTGGGCAGTTATTAAAAAATATTTTTATGATATTTTGGTCTCAAAATCGTTATATAGAATAAACTATTATTCATAATTTTTATTTTATTCACAAAAGTGTATAAAATCATATCCGCAAGATAGCCTTTATTTTAAATTTTAAACTTTTTTTAAAATTATTTTTATATTTTTCTTAATAAATTTAAATAATAACGAGATGATAGCGGCAAAAAATAAAATGTTTTTGTAAATATTAAAAGCAAATTATGCCCCAACATTTCCCCTATTAGATAATTTCGAGAAATGTTCAACTGAGGGAAATTTTTTCTAATTGGATGAAATATATTTAAAATTAAACAGGTATCTGGTATAAATTAAACGATTAAAAGTTAGGGAGATATATGAGTTAGGGTTAACTAATAAGGTCAGGGGTCAGGGTTTAGATTAGTTTTTTTATCAATGACAAATCTAATAGCCCCCTCCCTAAATGTCTATCGTATATACAAAATTTCGCGTATTCAGGTAAAAAGTGTTTTATAAACGATATAGTTATATTCCCATAATTTGGAAACTGGAACGAATCTAGGACCCTGAGTTCATTTTTAGAAGTAAACAAAAAACCCATTTTTAAAAAAATTCAAAGGAAACCAGTTTCTTAACAAAGGTATCGCAAGTAATTCATATCATCTTTCTTTCTTTCCGCGTCAAAAATTAAAGAAGCGGAAACCTAGGGCCCACTTTATCGAAATCGTAAGGAACGCAAAAATAGGAACAACTTTAAAGGGAAGAAATTCATAAACAGGAACAAAAACCCGTGTGATTTGAGATTTTCTGACTTTTATGAATTATTCTCCCCAAATTTTATAAGAATTTTCTGACTAGCATATTTACATTTTTTTCTTTCAAAAAAAAACAATAATTAGTATTGTTAAAGGCTCTATTCTATTTAGCCGATTTTTTTTAAAAAAGGACTAATTCAATATCTTATCCAGAAAAATATTACTCAAGCTTAAAGATTTTGCTCTTAGATGACACCAAGGTTTGGATATCTATTAGCGAAATCTCGAGGCTTAGGCAATGCCTTTCTAGCTAAAATATTGTGTTAATGGTTTTCTAAAAGTCGGCTCAAATCGAGCCTTTTATAACTACACTAAGCTATAATATATTATCTATCATGTACGAGAAGCTTTGAGAAAATAATTAGTGGGCACTGCGATAATAATTGAATTGATACTGTTTATTGTATTTTTAAAATTTCATTTAAAAAAAAATTTATTACACATAAATGTCATTCATTTTTTTTTAAAGAAATACACATTTAATATATAGTAAAGTGAAAGCTAAAAGGCGTATTTATTATAATTATATTCCTCTAAATCACTGCTAAATTTTACACTATTTATTTATTTTTTTAGTTTATTGATAAATAGGAAAAAGAGGTGGCGATTTACAGTGTAGAACAAGTTTTTCTTAAATGTCACCATTTACTTTTTTTTCCCATATATAACGAATAATAATTTGTCTCCTTAAAAGTCTTTTGTTACAAATTTCATAATATTCAAGGCTTGCATCATTAAAATTATATTATACGTTAAATATTAAAAAAAAGGTAAACGTTCGTATGCCGTGCACACGCATATCTCAGAAAATATACCATTGGCAGAATCCCTTTTATATCATAATTATAGATCGTCCAAACAATCCATAGATACCAACAGATTTAAGCGAAACCGTTTACACCAAACTTTCCTCTCAATCATCTGTGATTTATTCCTAAACACCTCGTGGGGTTCAATAGAGCCAAGATGGACAATCCCGTCTATGGCCTCGTCTGCTAATAATTTAGATTTTACGCGCGAAAGTGAGAACGAAGAGGGGAACATGAATGATGATCTAATCGTGATTGATAATTCCGACGATGAGTTTTTCGTTATACAAGAAATCGTTTGAAAGATTAATTTTTTTTAGGCTATTTTCTCGACACTAATCTGTTTAATTTAAAACAATATCTTTTTATTGGAGTAACCGTATATTGCCTATTTTAATCCTTGTATATAGATCATAGAAATGAAATGATCCTAGGGTTAGGAAGATGCTTGCCAAGAAATTTGACATGCCATCTCATTATAACTCATTAACCTATGTTACCAGATTTTTCGTCTTCCTTCTTCTTGCGTTAACATTTATTCTTTGTAAATAATTCATAATACCTCAACAATTTTTTCTTGATAACAAATTAATTAAATTATATATATATACCAAATTGTTATAATGGTATTATATTTTATTTATAATTTACATTTGGAAATCTTTTTTTTTGAAAAACATGTTCAGTCACCACTACAATCATGAAAGATATAAAAAAAAGGTTCGATTAGATTATAACCAAAATAACATTACGTAAGCCTAAAGATTTTGCTCATAGCTGGCAGAAATGTTTGGACATCTATTTGCCGAATCTCAACTGTTACATAACTAAAATCTTAATCGGGCCATTTAAAAAATAGACCCAAATCGAGCTTTTTAACAAACACTAATTTAAAAATGTGATATTTTTTATATTTTAATCATTTAAATTTGAGAAATGATGTGTATTAATAACTAGTTTGAAAAGATTAAAATATTTTTTTTTAGAAAATTATCGATGAAATATTTGTGAGTAATATGGATATTATCGATCAAATTTTGTAAAAAAAAATTAAATAAAGTTTGAATAGCATTTAATAATTTTCGATTTCTCATATTTTCCTCTGGGGTATTATGGCGAAAAGAGCAATATTTCTAATCTTTACAAAAGCCAATGACTAAAACTGCCTAAGATGTTCAGACAGATATCCAAAAAGAGACATAATTTGCTGAATTGCTGAGACTTTTTATTCTACAAAAAGTAGAAACTGTATAAAGGGTGCCTGACAAGATAAGCCTTTGACATCAAGCTCTTACTACATTTTGCCCTCGTAGAAATATTAAAATGGCCAGAATGAAATGCCATCTGCACCAGATAAAAAAACTTTTAAAAACAAACCTTGGTTGTACAAAATCGATTTTTTTTTCGCCGAACCCAGTGAGGGCAGGACTTTATTTTAAATAGAATTTAGGAAGTTTATCTTCCAACTAATAATATTATCTTTAATATAGTACTTGCACGATTAAATTTAAATATTCAGCAAATACACTCGTATAAATTTCTCCTTATTTGTACGATTGATTTTCTTAACTCTAAAATTAACCGATTTCCAATTCTGATATAAAAAAGAGGCATTCTTAAATCATTTTTTATAGGTAATATTCAATCAGGCAAGTGAGATAAGAAAATATAAAATTGGTATACGAGCTATGGGCTTGGCCCATAATTTTATTGATGATGTTACACTGCTCAGTCTCGGCCCTTAGAACTCAACTCAAAATGCTATTAATTTTGAGTGTGAAATCATTGTCACTCTTTTCCTTCCTTAATTATATATATACCCTCCATTTTTAATATGTTACAGTTTTTATTCCAAATTTTTATAATTATTTTTTTAAAGATAAAGAGAATTCTAATCAAATTGTCATGTTAAGTTCCAATGGTAGGGTAAAAATATTTAGGGATGTAGTGATATTGTGAAATCGAATAAGGGCCAGATCATTTTTATCCTAGAATCTTCACTCGTTATATTATTTTTTTTTCGGCCTCATACAACTCAAGATTTATAAAATGTTTAAAAAAAATATATCAAAATAAAATAAATGCTAGTCATTCAGCCAAAGAATAATGGTAATTTAATTTTTCTAACTTCGAGAAATGGCGATAAAAATAATAAAGATTGAATAAATATAATATAAAGAATTTTATTTTGTAGGAAATAAATTTTAATCGCTATAATCATTCAAGGTTCCCAGTGTGTTGGGATATAAGCAATAAAGTTCTTCGGGAAAGTGGGCTGAATGACAAATAGGATTTCCTTTTAAAACGAGAATTTTGAGGTACGAGCACGTCGAAATATCCTCCAGTCCTTCTTCCAGCTGTTTGATATCTAGGCAGTTTGTAAAAAAAAAATTTTTTTTTAAAAAATCAAAAAATGTTTGTGAATACATTCGAATTAATTTCCTTTTACTCGGCCCTTAATTATTTAATCACCGAATCAGAGATGCCCCAATACCCACGCAATAGAAATGTGATATCAATCTTTTTTATAGATTTATCTACCAATTTTTCAAGCCGATGAGGATATACTACTGTTAAATGGTTCATTAACGGAATATTGTATATGCCTTTAGATGTCGATAATATATATCTAGACCTTTGTTCCATCTATGACAAAATCTTCAGGCTTGAGTAATGTATTTCTGGATAAAATATTGAGTTTGCTGTTTTTAAAAATCGGCTCAAAAACGAGCCATTTAATAAAACTAATAAGAAAAAAAAGGTATTTTTCCCTCGATTTATTTTCCATGTAAATTATATTATATTAGATCAAAATAAATAACTTCGTATTATATTTAGTCTTACATTTTTTAAAATAACAAAATAAAATTAATAAAATATAACGATGAATTTTATCTTTGCACCTTATTTTATCCCTCTGATATTATTATGATTTCTTCCAAAATCGGAGGCATCCAAAACCCCGTTTTTTTAAGGTAAAAAGTAAAACGTATGTTTTAAATAAAACTCCCTATAGAAAATATATTCTTACCATATTTTGTTTAATTTTTCATTATACTCATTTTATAATTTTTCCATTTAACTAAATTGAGTTATTACAAAAATAGCCAACTTTCATTTTAAGAATTCTTTTTTTTTGAAAATTTAAAAATAATATTTAAAATTAATTTCATTTGTATTTTTTTCCCATGATTTTTTAACATGTGCCTACCTTTTATTTAATAGAGTAGCATCAGTCCTTTACAAATTCGAAATGATACTCAAAGTAATGTTAAACGGCTCTATATGAATGGATATTTTTTAAAAAAGGGCAACGTCAAATTTTATCTAGAAAATATAACGCAAGCCTAAAGATTGGTACAAAGGGGTCTAAGACATCTATTAGGGAAATTTCGTGGCCTATGCACTAGAAAAATATTGAGTTAGCCGTTTTTAAAAATCAGTCTAGAACGACCCGTTTAATAACATTAAAAAAAAATCTTTCATTATTATTCTACCTATGCCAACTTTGACAACTAAAACATCAATATCAATTTTTTTTATAAAAAATTCGATTTATAACAGAATATATTTTTTAAATAAACGATTCAACTATGTATGTATATATATCTACCATTATTTTTGATGGATAGATGATTTAACAATAAGCAATCCTTTAAGCCAGCGCAACTCGTGATTATATTGTCATCCACTATCAACACCTTCAAACAACTATTATTTTATATAATTGTAATTGTAAAAAAAAAATTAAATATAATTTAGGAGAAATAACTTTACCAGTTATAACAAATATTTCGAACAAATCTCAAAATTAATAAATAATAAATTCCTAGAGCTCGCAATGAGCGGGCGGGTTAAAAAAATTTAACGCAAGATGGACGAGCGGGTGGGTCAAAAACAATGCGGGAAAATGTGAATTATTTTTTTGGCGGGGTAATAGAACGGATTATTTATAATATATAAATAAAAAACGCCAAATAAACCAGAAAAATAATTATGGCAGGGTGGACGAGCTAATTAAACGATTGCGGGTATATAAAACCATGGGCGGGCGAGTTTGGATTATATCACCAATTCCTGCAGATGAGGAACTTATAAATGCAGGCAACGATATCCCAATAAATATCTCCTTTGATTCGAGTTTCTTCGAATTCTTAATTTGCTAACAAGATGTCATATTTTTAATTCTTCTAGGTGACTTAATTCCGATAAAATTCAACATTTTTTTCTAAACTTTAGTTAGTTGCCATTAATGCCCCTAACGTCAAAGCAGGATTTCTAATAAAAAAAAATTAAATTTTCGGGGTTCTAGGTACAACACTTAAAATTTTTTTTTTTAAATTTGTCTCGTGTATAGAAAGAGTGATAAATAAGGTGTTTCTTATAGATAATAATTGTCTGTCATCGAAATTTATAGACATAAAACATCATTTTCTTTCTAATTGATTTTGAAATTATTCTAAAAAAAAATGAGTTAAAATCAATGAATACATTATACGATTCATTCAATAAAATGCATTTGTGTATTTACATAGGTATAATTAGCTGTAAGACCATTTTATGGTTTGCACCGTTGAAAAAATGTCAATGAAAATTTCATAATATAATATAAAACGATAAATTCCATTTAGTCAACATGCCGCAACAAAGCTGATTCCTATGGATACACCCTTTTAATAAATGAATCGTTAATCTAGTAGTATATATATATCACTGGTTAAAATGCACCAAAATCATTTGATTTTGCAAAATTATATTGAAAATTAATGCATATCAATATAGGTGCCATGAGGATAATTTCAAAATTTAATTATCAATCAGGAAAGCTCTAAAAAAATGTGATAATATTAGTTACAATCTTTCTCCTTCCTTTTTATTTTATTATTAGGTATTTCAAAAAATTTACCGAAAAAAACTTTTTTTTTAAAAATAGTATGGCCATCTAATATAGAAAATAATGGAGTGTTAAAATTATATTCCTTATTTTACTATTTATATATATATAAATTCTTTATAATATACCTCATCATTTACCAAAAAAATGATATGTTGATAGATAGAGTATGACGTATTTATGGCTTAGATTGACAAGCTTCAAGATTATAACAAATAACTATGAATTTTTATAGACATATAATAAATGTGCTCTATTAATCATTCTAGAGGCTCGAATTTTAAAACGACAGAAATAAAAATGTAATGTATTTGCTTAAACCATAAACCCTTGCACCAAACAAGAGAGGATATTTGATTGAAAGAGACGTCTATATAAGATAGAGCCAAAAATTGGTACGTTAAAATTCGCGGGTTTTCTGGTACAGCCATGTGAGTCAGGTTGAATCTGTTCAAACAGAGTTTATTAGTATCGTCTTGGTGGTGATGATCCCTGGATGAGAGGGTTAATTTGTTTTGCCAAAACTGTTCCCTGATGAGGTATTTACTTTCTCGAAGATGTCAATAAAAAATCATTAATTAAATTTATTTGAATATAAATTATTAATAATTCCAATTATTTATCAAATCAAATCCTCACTCATAGACTGATAAAACCCTTTCCTGTCCGGATCTATGTGATCGGCTAATTTGTCGAGGTAAATTAAAATGTCCTCCAAAATTTCGTTTCTGGCATTCAAACTAAAACCCATTTCATTTTCATTCTCGGCCACGTTTTGATCAGCGCTAGGGATACGGAATTTCAGTTCGTTCAGCCGATCAGCTAAGAATACCCAAGTGAGCATAGACCCTAAATTTTGAAATCGTAAATAAGTATAAAAATACTTTGATAGACATATACACAAAATATTGGGAAAGGGGATGTAAAAAAATGATAACCCTCGATTTATGTTTTTTTTGGGATGAGGGGGGAGGGTGGGGGTGAGGTTAAATAATGTGTCAGGGTGAACTAATTTTTATCTTTTTTTAGTCAATATTACATTCTATTCAGACAGCTATTTAGAATCCTACAAATGTGAGGTTAAAAGTAAAACAAGACTTAAAATGCAGTGATATTTAAGATAGATCTATATTTGCTTATTAAATAAATCATGCACAAGAACCCAATGATAAAGAGGCGTGCCAAAGGCCAGGTTACGTTTGCTTCCGTCGCTACCATTTCTCTTAAGCACTAGTTTCAAAAATGAACGGTAATCAGAAAATAGTGTTGTCAAACCACCTACCTTTGATCAACTATAAAACAGAGTAGCCATGTTTTTATTCAGAAATATTCTAATCAATCTTCAAGTTGAGACTCATCTTAGAGGCTTAATTCATTTTAGGCTAAAAGCTTGACTTAGCTACAATAGAGATGGTCAAAGATAGGTAATTTAACAACACTAATCAGAAATTACCCCACTTTTGTAACATTTACCTATTTTTATCTACTGTGGGGCAGGGTGGGTAGGGGATATCTAAGATTTAGTGTTGTTATCCATACTCGAGTTCATAAGATTGAATTTTAATGGGAAATTTTATAATTATTCGGTCCAAATACAAAAAACAAATGTCACAACATATATTGTTGCCAAAAAATGATCTAAAGTAATTCGTAATTAGACATGTTGAGCCATAATAATTATGATGATATGTAAATTTATATTATATTAAACATTTATTATTGGGTTCCAATTGAATCAATTCCTTGCACGTGTTCATTTGTTCAAAAAGTAGATCTTGGTATTTGAGTAATCTTTGAGTTGATTTGATTATTTAAGTTTTAAGAGTATCTTTAAATTTAAAATAGACATATCATTAGTAATTCTCAGGAAATTATTCATATTATTGCCAGCATTTGCAATATCATTTAAAAAAAACTTCAAATAAAAGTGTAAATTTAAAGAACTCATGTTGGGTATAAAAAATTAATTTTAGCCTTAGAAACATATTTTTTTTGCAAAGTTTGGTAAATCCCCAATAATAATTGGTCCAAAAATTTGAAATTCCCGGGAGATTTAAATTTGCAATTTTATATTACACCCTTTTTTTAAATAAGAAACTCTCTCTCTGCTCTTTTCCTTTCCAAATTCTAAAACTTCGTGAAATTCTAAAAATAAAAGATAATGGTAGAAAAAACTTTTCTTCCAATCCAATCATTGGGATACTCCATTTATAGAGATACAGCACGTGATCTTTATCGGAGGGCATGATCAAATCAATACAACGTTGATCGAAGGCGTAAAAATTATCAACAACGTCGTGGGTGGATGGTACCAAATAACGAAACGAAAATTTGTAATCTTCGTCTACCAATGAGGTCCAATCATTGTTTAAATTACGAATTAGCTATTTTTTTTTTAATTTAGGTGAGGGTTAGGTAATCCTAATTAGAAAAAATAACCACCATAATCATCTTTATGGCTGTGTCCTTATCCTCGGATAGCGCCATTAGGATGCGTTCCGTTATTCAAAACGACCCTACATGTACTTAACTTCATTTGAAAGACTAGTGACTTTCATTCATATTTTTCTTTATAACTCCGCTGCTCATTTTTAAATGGAGGGGGGAAATACTCGAAAATTATATTAAAGAAATGATATAGACAGCGACCATCTCTGTAGAAAGGGCCTTTTTACGTTTAATTTTAAAATAATTATCTGCCAATGAAAAGAAAGGTGTTCAGATCTTAGCTCCTCTAAAAAAAATCATCAAGCACATAGCCTCAGACTTCTAAAAATAGGCTTACTTAAAAACAATGAAAAGAATTCTACTGCATATCTAGAAGAAGAATAATAATTATGTATGGAAACTATTAGGAAGAGGAAGGATGTAGACGCGCCCATAAAGGTTAGGCTCTTCCCTGGGCATAGCGTCTTTGGACGCTTTTTTTCTTCCCTAATTTTTATGTGTGTTTATTTTTTTTAAAAAAAAGGAATATATAACTAAAGAATATCCCAATATCCCGGCGAAAGATGATGGTGAGAACATGGAAAATATATCTCTAAATTTCTTTTAGAAAAGTATATATAAACGATTTTTACCCATAAATCGGTAGGGAAAATGTTCAAACTAGATCCTTTCCCGCAAATTTTATCCCATTTTCGATAAACTGGCGAGCACTCCAACAATTCGGAATCGTAGACCTTACCCTCGTTCAAAATAAAATTGAAGTAAAACGTCTTGTCCGCGCGGTAAGAACCGTCGCGTCGTAAATCGTCAGAAATTTCGTGTTCAAGTTGATCATCAAAATTGTTTAAATATTTCATTCGCTATTTTTATTTTTATTTTATAAAAAAAATATTTAGAATTTTTAAAAAAAAATATGATTGACTTTCTATAACTTAGGGGTCTTGAAATTCCGCGACAAATCAACTAAAAAAATATCTTTGGATTACCTCAATTTAAAATGAATAAAACCTTGACACGATGGTTAATTTTATGATCTAAAATTTTATTAAGATTTAAATTTTCAGAGCGCTAGTTTCAAGCCGATCCATAAGATATACGCGTTTAAAGTCGAAAATAGAAATTTTTATTAAAATCTCATCTCATCTTTATCAAAATATATTTACGCGAGTGGGTCAAAAATTATAAAATCATTTTTTTGTCGCCCTGTAAGATTTAAAATTCAATGTAAAATAAATTAAGAAAATATTCCTAGTGTTTTCACAATTTTCTGTTAAAACCTTTGTGTGAAATAGCTAGGTAGCGAATTATGTTATTTCTTTTTTAAAAAAAATCCGTAAGTTTGTAATTATAATTTAAAAAAATATTTTTAAAAATCTATCACGTGAAAAACTGCTACGTGCTAATGAGATGTGATATGTAAGCAAGCAGCCCATAGGAATCGATTATTAATATTATAATTTGGATACTAATTTTATAAAAATAAAGTTTTCTTAATTGGATTCCGTAAAAAATTAAATTAAATCCTGTCGCTTGTTACAGGATATAAACTTTTCTACGAAGCACAGCAGAAATATGTCACTCAGCCATTATATCAAAATCCAACGATCGTACATTTATAACTTTTTTCTGTTTTATTTTGTGGTGTATTGTGCAACCGATTTTGGTAATATATTTCTATTTGAGAACTGTTGAATCCCAAAATTTTTCACTGATCACTTCTGATAACCAATTTGATATTTAGATTGATTTTAATTTACCATTTTTTTTTGAAATCAATCCATAAATAATAAATGTTTTATCGTGCAAAAAAAACAAACTGTTTATGGGGTTAAACAAAAAACGACACGACGAATCGCAGATAAAGATGTCCTGGACAAAGAAATACTAAACAGAAATACTTCAATCTTTAGAAATAAAATGCATAAATAAATATATTCTGGGGTATTTTTGTTCGATGTCTCAAAAGTGAAATCCTTTAATATAAAATATGGGAAAACGTCTATGGCTGTTTGATATTATTATTTTTTTTAAATAATAAAAATTAAAAATTTTTGTTGATTTTTTTAACCGGAAATAAGAATAAACTGGGAATGTTTTTTAAAATAGATTTCATATGTAAAACTAACAAGAGTTACAAAATGATATATAATTTTATGAAATCACAATCTGCAAGCACGATTTTCGACTTAAGGTATATATATTTTTTGCAACTAGTTAAGAAGCTTTAAAATGTGAATTTCATCTTTAGGGACTTATTAAACACTTGTTATTTTGTTCGTTAAAAATAATATTACGGCCCAGGCCAGGTAAAAACTTATGTAGAAAATTTCCAAGAGCTACTGAAAGCTTGGTTAATCTATAATGGAAATTGGCTAAGGTTAGACGATTTAGCAACATTACTGCTGGCACTTAATTTATAAATAATTTCATATTATGCATAATAGGGAAACACATGATCCCATTCATATCTTTGTCAATATTCAGCGATATCCATCTGCTATTTATGTGCAATCCTCAAATATGGAGCACGATATAACTTCATTTCTAAGAATTCCTTCTGCCCACCCTTCTTCCGCTCAATTCCTGCTATCTGCTCCTTTTCCTATTTTTCAATTTGACATCTTAATCTAAATAATAACATTTCGATTGGTATTTATTTATTCAAATTTATTTAATTTACCTTAACAAAATGGCTGAGCGTAATGCATATCAATGAAGGGTCGGCCCTATTAACGTATATCACTTTGATATGAGGAAATCTAAAATCATCCATACTCCCGTTTTGGGCATCTCCTTGCCCCAAATTGTATGTTTGATTTTCCGATACAATCACATTAATAGGCATAGCTTCCATTTTCTTTTCGCTCATATTCTCGTTGATAATACTGCTGATCATTGAATCGGAGTTCTCTTCGGCAGGAGAGAATTTTTCGTTTACGATTGGCATTGATAGACGGGTCTCATTCGCCATAGTAGACTTTATTTCACCGCGATTTCGGCTCGAATCAATGAAATTTGTAGCAACTGAAAATCGATTCATGGGATTAGGGTTTGGGAAGAATGACGAAAAGAAATGATTATCTAAAACGTTTTTGTATATTTGGTTTTTTTTAAAAAAATATAGAAGATAATCTTAAAAAAATTTGAAAATTTTTAGATCATCGTGGTTTAAATTAGTGGAAAAAGATTTATTTTCTAAAATTTTTGGACTTCATTTTGAAATAATAGGTGGATAATATAATATTTGCTTTAAATGACATAATAATTAGATTATAGATGTTATACTAATAAAAAGTATATTATAAATTAAAACCATCGGTTTCTTTACAGATTACAAAATTAGATATGATATCGGATTGGTAATTGGCCGTCAATTTAATATCGGATCAGCCTCCAAAAAGTGGTATCGGTACACCCCTATAAAATTTATTTCTTATTTCACATTAAATTAGATGTCAGTTTTTGTAATTTGTTAAATATAATGTCATAAATATGACTTTGGATTTAAAAATTTTATTATCAATCAAAATGAACAATAAAAATATGATACACCATCTAGCACATTTGTTTTGATAAATGGGTGTATTTAGAATTATTAGATATCAGGTGGATTCTAACGTTTTATTAAGTTGACTATACTAAACCCACCCTCTTCTGATAAAAAAAATAAATAAACTATACTAATTACCTTTATCCTTATCCATATCACAATCCTTATTATCAAGTTCTGGTTTATTGAGGTGGAAAATGAGCCAATGCAGATAGAACCATGCGCTCTGGTCATAGGGGTCAGTGTATATCGCGTTAATCAGAATAAGTGAATCTTTGGAGGTTATATCCTGAATCAAAGCGTCTAAGTATATTAAAATAGCATTCTATAAATAGGGTGAAAATTGAGGAAAGTAGTAGAGCCTGGATATGGGGTAAAAAAATTATGGGTCTGAGTCTTGTCCGATTAACCAAGATTCACCTAGAGCAATTGGTAAAGGAAATATGCATTAACTTGATTAAATAATGAAATTTTAAATTAAATCACTCAAGACTCCATTGATATACAATACGAGCTCGGTGAAAAATAAATTTCTGAGATCCTGGTCCTACCATAATTCCATCTACAAACTGAATGAATTGAAAAAAAGTCAATTTATTATACCCTTTGATATGAAATATTTCTTAATGCTAAAATTTTGAAAAAAAGGTAAAATAGTTTAATTAGCTCGATTGGAAAATTTCCTTCCTGGAGATTGTAAGAGCCCCAGTGGACCTAATTTTCAAAGAGAACTTTTTTGTCCAACCAATCAAATCTGGGTATTTTCTTTTTAAAAATAAGTTTAAGTCCGGTCCAGAAAAAGTCCATAGGCACCAAAAGGAATACAAGGTCCAAAACAATCTGACCAATGAGAAAATGTCGGCCCAAGAAACAACTGCCGGCAGTCAGACTAGAATTCGGCTATGTCCTAGCAGAGCTTTCAAAACTCTTGAGCGGTTTAAAATGAGTCACGGGTTAACATAATGCTGGCTGTTTTTTTTAAAAAAAAATTTTTACGTTTTCCTCGCTCCATATATTTATTAAATTTGTAATAACAAACAACAGAGGAAAGTTAATGCAAATTTTACCTTGCGGCGATTTTTCGCCATCTTTCTTTTCCAACTCTCGCGCCATTTTAACCTTTTCCTCCCATAACACGGATCTGTAATGCCAGGCTGAATAGTTGGAAAAATTTTGCTCGATCTTTTTTAGGGTGTAATCTAGCTCGGAATCCAGAATTATATCATTTTGGCGATTCTCTTCTGCGTTAGAATTGATTTGTGATTGATATTTATTGGCCACGAAACGTCTGTGGTCCCAACAATGGACTTTATTAACATGTTTTTTTTGTTTTAGTTTTTTTAAAAAAAAATACTTTTAATTGGCAAAGTCTATTGCTGTCAAAATTGGATTAAATTTTTAAAGATTAACATATTCGGTAACATATTTAAGAGACTATTAAATTAAATCATAATATAGATTCATCTAGCCCTTATCATATATATACCAATGTAAACACTCCTTTAAAAACCGGGTTCAAGTTCTTTGATACCAAGGAAGAATAATGGCTCAAAAACTGAAATTAAAAAAAAAACAGATGTTATGCTTGGGTAAAGATCACTTAAAATCAGTAGTTCCTTTTAGTGTTGTTAAATTACGTAATTTTGACCATCTCTATTGTGCTTTAGTCAAGGTTTTGGCCTAAAATATTGAATTAAGCCTCTAAGTCAGGCCTCAACTTGATGATTGATTTGAATATTTTTGGTTAAATACATAGCTACACTGTTTTATAGTTGACTAAAGTTAAGTAATTTAACAACACTAGTTCCATTTAAGAAACCGAAATTTGTGTAAAAGAATGAATTCCTTTTTTAAACAACATGTAACAAAAAGTTAAGTGCATATAAAGTTCTGTGAATCAAATTATCTATACTCTACAGTATAAATATAGGGCATATAACTTATGTCATATCCATCCTCTATCTGACTATAGGTTAGAAAAATTATTATTTTTTCTTCAAATTTTGAATCTCTAGATAGAAACTGAGGTGGAAGCCTCTGGGAGATAGCCCCCTAAATTGGTTCTACATAAAAATATAACATTACAAATGAGATATTTATATAATAATTTTGGAAAGTTATTTGTTTAAAATATTTTAAATTAGGCCAATTTATCAACTGATAATACAATGGGCTGCAACCAGTGTATGAAAATCTAGACTAAAAAGAATTTTGTATTCGATTCTGAATATATTTTTTTAAACAAGTGGTTCTAACAGTTCCTAATTAAAAAGTGTGTAAATTTGATGTGATTTCGAGGGTTTCTGGTTCAAAAGTTCTAGTAATCAAAAAAAATCCAATTACATTTTTTAAAATAAACAAACATATAATTACTTGAACTTTTGTCAAAAACCCCAGTTCTTAAAAAATTTAAAATGGGTTCTGGTTTTTAAAAATGTTAAAAGTGGGTTCAAGATTCGGGTCACAAATACTGATTGTAACATCTGATTTATACTGGTCATATTTTCAGTGTCACATTTGAAAATAAATTATGAAGTAGAAATTAGAGTTATTTAAAAATAATCAAAATTTAAAATCAAGTCACGAAAGTGATAAAAATTTTAAAATAAATTCAGGCAAGGCTTAATATTTTAAAAGCTCAATTGCCAAGCCCAAAAAATGTTTTAAAAATCCAAGCAACGCTTTAAAAATGGGGGGAAAAAATCAAAAAAATCTGGATTAAGCTAAAATATTTTTATCCACTGTCTTATGTAGATAGAAAAGGTGAAAAAAAAATAGTGGCATCATGTTTTATTATTTCATATGTGGCATCAATAAATTCCTTATCATTCATTGATAAACAATGATAAAAAGGAATATGATAATTAAATCTCACTTGTGCTTCACATTTTTATAAAAAAAACCAAGCTTGAGTTTCAAGGCATCCAAGCAATATAAAAAGATCAGCACCAACCTCAGCTTCTAGAATTCAAATGAAGGAATTTTTTTTGTATCAATAGTTAGATATTCATGGGCAAGTCATATCCCTGAATAATATGACACATCAGAGACATGCAGGCCTGGCCTGGGTATACAGGCAATGCCATATTTTATTACTTTAAATATAATACCTGGGCCTTTTTTTAAATACCTGAGCCAAGAATATTTTTTTTAAAAAAAAAACCAGACTGGGCCAGCTCTAAATCTCAGCCAAGCCTGAAAATATGATGTCTGGGGACTGGGATATGCAAAAAAAAATTTGTGCCAGGTCATGCAAATGGTACCTCTCCTCTGCAGGTCTGTCATATATAAAAATACTTTACAAAGTAAAAAAAAAAGGAACTTGCAGATATTAAGATATGCTTTGCTGAGAAATTCATTCATCCTCTCACTTCAAGGGTAATGGGTTAAAGCAATATAATAATAAAAGCATTTTGGAAAAGAAAGCATCTTTCATATGCCTAACTGAAATTTATATGTACATAGAAGTTAAGGTCAAATGGTATTAATATAGCAAACTTTTCATGTATATTAGTGGCAATGTATATAATGTCTTATAAAATTATGTAATATTTATAGCAGATATTTTATTTAACCTAAAATAGCTATTTCAAAATGTGTAAAATTATTCTATAAATTTCTGAAATTTGGTCATGAACTTTTGAGTTATTTTTAATTTATACACTAAAATTAAATAAATTGATTGCCATATTAAACAGGCAATAGTTCCCAGTAATATATATATAATTTTATTCCATTTTACTTTTCCTAACTTTCTATATTTTAATATCCAAAAATAAGGATTATTACAATTTCTTTGATCATAATTCAAAAATTTGGAGGATAGATCTAGTTCACGTTTCCAATCAGCATTAGGCATAAGTGTTAGAACCCAAGCTCTATGGTGCCAACATGAATAAGATTTAGGGTTAGAAGCCAGGGAGGCTTCAATGAGCTTATTCTCTGTTTTGCAAATTTCTATAAATTCGTCAGAAGTTAGCCTTTGTTAAATTTTTTAAAAGGCATGTAAATATGTTAAATTAAAAATTATATAATAAACAGTTATTAAAATTATATTATTTTAATATTAATGATACTTAATAATAAAATAAAAAACTATGAATGATAATTAAAAATAATAATTTATTTCAAAGTGGTTAACTTAATATTTTAATATGCTTACAGATTATGCTTATTTAATAAAATAGTTCTTCTAATATTCCATAGAGTATATATGTCAGGATTCTGAATCAAAAGTTCAGCAATTACTTTTAGGACTTGATCATGTTGAGATATATCGTTTTTCTATTGTTTTCTTTTAGAAATTTTTTCAAATTAATAAAAAAAACTTTTTCAATAATTTCTTTAAAACTATCATAATATATTTTAGCTTTTTCAGACTCCTCTTCTTTTTCTCTTGCCTCTTGTTCATCATTAAGTTTTGATTTAACACGTCCATGCTACAATGTAAGTATAAAAATTTAAAAATATTCAAGATTTACCATTTAAAATCAATATTGTTTATCATGTATGCAAAGGGTCGAAAATCTTTATCTAATCGAGATATCATGTGGATCTTATTAATGAACCATTGTTTAACTTTGTGCAATGGCGTCGCTAGAACAGGGGCTCGAGCCCCCTGAAAAATTTGAGTATCACCCTGAAGAAATTTTTTTTTAATGGCTCCTTAATATCCCCTTGAACTAAGAATAATTTTTTTTGATTTCCTTCTGAATGATTTCTTTTATAATTTCATTAAGTAATATATTTAATTTTATTATTTAGAAATTAATAAGAATATTATAATTTTTATTAAATAAATACTATTTTAATTATTGGATTAGATTACTACATTTAAATTATATTTTCACTATGTCAGCTTGCAAAATTCTGTATTAAAAATATAATAGCAATAACTCACTGAATATTAATTTAGATTTAACAGTTGAAGTTTAATTGACTTTTAATATTTTAATTATTATATAATCCTAATTAAATATATTCATTCATTTTAAAATTAACAAATTTAGTTATGTAATTAGCCGAGTTCTGACTAATCAACTGAATATTTAGTTTTAAATTTTATTATCATACCTATTCTTAAAAATATTTTCAATCTCCAAATAAATATAAGAGATTTCTTTATAAAAAGTATGTAGACATATAGTTTATAATCCTCTTCTATATACAGATATAAAATATTAGACAAAATGTCATTTTATAACATATTTGAAATGATTTAATATTATAACAATTCCTAATAAATGGTTTTGATAATAAATATAGTAACAATTTGCATTCAAGTATTTAACGCCATCTGTTTAGTTACAAATTTTAAATATTAAACTTGTAATTCATCCTGTAATAGATTTAATAAATTTTATTCTTCTCTTTTTTTACATGTTTTTAAAGCTATTTTTTTTTTTCGAAAAACAGTACTGAGTTAAATTTTTAATACAAGTATATTTTTGATATTATTATAAACTACTATTATTTAAGATATAATCAATGACATAAAACGGCTCGTTTTGAGCCGATTTTTAAAAACGGCGAACTCAATATTTCGGTTCCCCGTCATTACAGAGAAATCATTACAGAGAATGTATTTTACGGAGAAACTTTTATAGAGCTTTATAGAGAAAGCAATTATAGAGAATGTCGTTTATAGATAAAATTTTATAGATAAAGTTTTATATTGAGAATAAAGCTTATAGAGAATAATTTTATAGAGAATAATTTTACAGAAAATTATTTTACAGAGAATGATTTTATAGAGAATGATTTTACAGAGAATGATTTTATGGAGAATGATTTTACAGAGAAAGATTTTATAGAGAATGTATTTTATAGAGAATTATTTTATAATGAATGTATTTTTATATAGAATTATTTTATAAAGAATATTATTTTATAAAGAGTTTTATTTAAGAATATGATTATTATTTAAAAAATGTTATATATAGGAAAAAAAATCAGTATTTGACATAACTTTATATATTAGAATTACCTTATATAAGCGAATAATTCGTTAGTTTTTGAATTATTACAATTGTACAGAAAAATATTTTTTTATCTTTGCACAAGGTTTTTCGATTATTAGATGATGGTAGATCAAAATTTTGACATGATTTGTAAGGAATTTTACTATATTTTTAAAGATAAGTACAAAATAAAATAGATAGTGGTGTTAAAAATTACTTTGGCAATGTGACTTAAAAAATGTTTAATACTATTTATATATGAAGTCATTATAAAATAAACCTTAATAATATACTGAGCTTAGTAATATTCATTTCGAAATATTAAATAAATTTTTTTCATAAAAAATCCAAATAAACATAACAAATAATATACCAATATAAAAAATATAAATATAAGATTAAATTAAACATTTAAATTATGGGATAGCCCTTAAATAATCCAGCATGGTTCTTGAATAAAAATCTTCAACAATTAGAAAAATCCTTTTAGATGTTTCGCGATATTCTTTCTTTCACAGCGGAGCCAATAGTCCTAAAGAATATTGTTCCAATTTGTAACAATTCAGACTATTTTGTCTTTGAGAGCTAAAAATTAAAATGTTAAAATTTATAATATAATATAATTACTAACTCTTAAGAAATTTCCATCGTTGGATTATGGGAACTTATATGAGACGAAAAACTTTGATGCCAGCTCTCTACTGAATTATTTGTATTCGGTTCACGGGGGGGGAGATCTTATTTCATGATAAATTCATAGGCACATAATTCCACGAATCCATGAATTACATCCTCAATTGGGATATATGCCAATGACATTAACACTTTTATATACATAGCAAAATTTGTTTCGGTTTTGTATGCATTGCAAATTAGCGGATTTTTTTGAACCGTGCGCCATATGCATTGAGGAATATGAAACAGGCATCCGCGCATTGCAATCAGCGGAAACGACTGTTTAAAAACAGATAATGCTGCTAATTCAAAGTGATGATGATGAATTTCGGATGTAAAAAAATTTGGAAATTTTTTATTTGATTGAAAATATTAACATAATCTTGTTGGCCACGTGATGCGATCAAAATCTTTAATTGTTTTCTCAATAAAAATTCTCTGTAAAATACATTCTCTATATAATAATTCTCTATAAAATTATCTATAATCGACATTCTCTATAATGTTTTCTTTGTAAAAGTTTCTCTATAATTGTTTTCTCTGTAATGGTTTCTCTGTAATAACGCGATACCCAATATTTCATCGAAAATAATATTGCAAGACCTGAAGATTTTGTTTGTAGAAGGAACAAACATTTATACATCTATTAGCGAAATATCGGGGCTTAGGAAATATTTTTATCGCTAAAATACTGAGTTAGCTGTTTATAAAAATCGGCTCAAAACAAGCCGTTTAACAACACTAATTTCTAATTTGTCATTGCCGTGTAAATAACTCCAGGCTTCAATATATTTCCATAATTATTTCTTCCAAAAAATTTTAATGTTTTTATTTTATCAATTTATATATCATAATAAATTCTGATATTAGTTTACATCGTGAGTGTCATGGCTATTACAAATTAACCAGCATCTATTATTTGTGTTGCTATGTAATTTAAGATTATTACTACAATGACTGAGAGCATATGATTGCATATTTTAGATAAACAATAATGGTCAACTGGGTAGTCGTCTATATATCATAGAAGATAATCTTTTATAAATTTAATATCTCGCAATAATTTTACTTATCTAACTTCCATTATGTCATCTAAAAGGATGCTCTAACCACCATATAGTTTTATAATTTCAATTGGTCGTTTCTTCAAAAATTGTTGATTTGGTTTAGGCCTATAAATTATTCTTTATTAGTACACTCGATAAAACATTGTCTAAAATGGTAATAGAGAGTTATATTAGTTTGTTAACCTTTTGTCAATGTAAGTTGCTAAGAATTATATTATTATGTTGTTTTAAAAACCATTATCAATTGAGGCATATGTATGAATTAATCAATCTTTTTTATCACTTGTAATTGTTTAGACGCAAATTTTTTTTATATCAGCAATATACTGTAATAATAGATTTTGTATTAAAAAATATTATTTTTAGAAATGTTTTATATTGTTTTGATTATTTATATTCCAGTTTATTTTGTATACACAATATACAAAATATGAAATTCAGAATAATTGTTCAGAGTTAACAAATTTTAATGGGGGCGAATCCCCTCATAATTTTTTTTTTAGTTGAGCCGCCTGAAATTGCAAAGGCTAGCGACGAGGCACCTGACATTCTTTTTCTGAATATATAATTTATATTTTCACTTTGAATGTTAATCTTACAGTAAAATTATAACTATTTTATTATCTTTCTTCAGTTTTAGCAAACCAATCCTTTATATTTTTTGTAAAAAATAAATTAAATGGTTTTTATATGAAAAGAAAAACTAATTATTTATTCAAAATAAAATATAAATACTTCCTATTTAAACTCTCTTATAGGTCATATCTTTTTTAAAAATTTGAAATTGTATCACCTTAGGTGAGTTTCAGTTGATTTTACTAGTTCGCTGATGTCAAAATATATATTCTGGAAACTGCTAGTATCAAGATCGTCTACTTACAAAATAAAAAAAAAGGAATTTTTACAGGTTGAAAAGTTCAAACTTTTTTTGTCGAACTTTCAGTCTGCTGATAGAATTTGATGAATCTATCAGAAAGTATTGATTATTTACCCTTCATTCGATCTTAACAACCTTATTGAATTATATCTAGAATTTGATTGCGACTACAAAAAGGGCACATGTTCTATTGGAACACCGTATAATATATATATTTTTTGAAAATAATCTGAGTGGAACAAATATATTTCGGTTGGGCAATAAATTAGAATCAGATTTTTCTAAAAAAATTATCAAACAAATAAAGAAAAAAGATTTTTGGTTAAATTTTAACTTAAGAATCCAAAGTCTTTTTTTTTTAAAAAAATGATCTATTATGAGCATAACTATTTCGTAATTATGATGCACATAAAATCTCAAAATAAAAATGATATTTTTTAAAGAAAAAAAATTTTTGCTCAATTATTTTTGAAATTTTTTTTTTCAAACTTATTATAAAGGATGCGAAATATAAAACTAAAATGAATTTTTTTTTAAAAATTGATAATTTAATATATAACTTATTTAAAGATTAGAATCCATTTCTAATTCTAATAGAAACAGATCCAAAATATTTAATAATGGTTTAAAGTTAAATAGTATATGACTTTTTTAGAAGAAGAGGAAAAATGAGGTGACATCAAAACGGGGAAATTTTTTTATTATTATTAAAATATTTAATAAAAGCAAAAAATGAATAAAAAACCAGATAAATATTACTCAAACCCTGAAGATTTTGTTCATAGATAGCCCATAAGTCGAAACATCTATTAAGGAAATGCTAAGCCTTGGGCAATATTTCTTTGACTAAAATATTGAGTTCGCGGTTTTTAAAAATCGGCTCGAAATAAGCCGTTTAACAACACTAGATGTGATTCTGATCTAATCCAAAAGAATGCCCTCAAAATTTACGAGAAATATACTATGGTTAGGTCAGGTAGGTCCTAGCAAAGATATACA